ATAATGAACCGAATGGAGTAAACATTATAAGTCTGGTCACTATTGCATTTCCATCTGCCCCGCGGCAAACACTCGGACATCATACAGAGTGTGTTGAACATAAGCACACTCAATCACAGAACCAGGAACTAGTGTTGCAAAGAAAAGTCTCCTTCAGGCTGACAGTACAGAGTCAGTACTGTTTTGTTTTCTTCAGTTTTGAAACAGATCAGAATTGAAGTGTTAATGGCTTGTACGTCACTCAGAAAAATACATTGCTCAACAAATCTAACAGCACTCAGAAGGGAATCTTTTAATTTTAGGAATTACCTGGCTTAAAATAACAACAACAATGCAAAGGGATCTATTCAATGTCCCCCCCTTTTTGCGTGACCCCGGGGGTCACTAGATCCTATATACTAACAGACTGAACGAGGCAGATAATTCAATCATGTGCACCTCTGGATGACCCATGTGATCATGGTAGAATACCTAACAACTGGAAGATGTCTCTACAAATTCCCACCGAGGAAGTCAATAACCTATCAGTTCACAAGGTTTTATAAAAACACAAATTATAAAATCTGTTAAGATGAGCTGGAACTAATAAAAAACACTGTGAAAACAGAAACAGTAATAAAAAGATCATGAGAAGTATATGCTTTAGTCATTTTTTTCTGTAAAGCTAAAATTATATAAAAATAATGTATACATTAAAAGAAACATGAGAATGAAGTTACTCAGAACAATGTGGAAGAAAGAACTACAGTCTTTTTCTTAACTTCATGGCCTCACCAACATGAAACTGTTATTAACCAGTTCAGCCTGGGAGATATAGTCTGTCTAGAGTGTGTGTCATTCATCAGACAATCAAATAATATCAGTATATCTCTTGCATTGCGGTTTTAGCCACTAATTTAAATTAATTACCCTTCAGATTGCTATGTGGCTAGATGATCAAATAATTACATATTTTCTCTATAAAATATAAGCAGATAGCAAAATGCATTTAACATAATAGTAAAAGTATTATCTTGCTATTTGCAATTTATAAGTGCCTGTGGTGGTTTGAAAGAAAATGGCCCCCAAAGGGAGTGGCACTATTAGGAGGTGTGGCTTTGTTGGAGTAGGTGTGGTCTTGCTGGAGTAAGTATGTCACTGTGGAGGGCTTTGAGGTCTCATATATGCTCAAGATACCTCCTAATATTTTAGTTTACTTCCTATTAACCTTCTGATCAGGACCCAGCCAGCACCATGTCATACCGTCTGCCTGCATGCTGTCATGCTCCCTGCCATGGTGATGACAGACTGAACCTCTGAATGGTATGCTACCACCTCAATTCAGTGTCTTTCTTTATAAGAGCTACCGTGGTCATGTGTCTCTTCACAACAATAGAACCCTAACTAAGACAGTGTCAAAACTCCAGGTGGTCAGTGTTTACTGTTTAACTGCAAAGTGATGAGAACAAAATACCAACCACTTACAACAGTGGTCTCTGAAAGCTGCACTACAAAGGGCTTTCCTCCCTCTGTATTTCATACATGCTCTAAGAGGCTAACTATTTAGTGGCTTTCTGTAACAAAAAGACTAAAATAGAAGACTGTCTATTTCTATGCAAAAACTCAAAGACCAGATATGGTCAATGAAGGTGACTAATACTAATATCCGTCACCGTCATTAGTACTACACTGTAGGTACCTCAGGTGTTCTTCTACCCGTAAGTTTGCTGGCCATAATAGCAGGCAGCAGGGGCTATTGAAGTTTTGTTATTGTTTTCCCTGGGAAATAGTTAATTACTAAAGAGATAAAAGAGGTCATGCCAACATTCTCTCCTTTATTGGTTACCGGTTTAAATTTCTGGGCATCTCATATCCTGGCTTTAGAAGATGAAATGCAGTAGTAAGGCCATTTAAGGTGGCACACATCTTTATTCCCAGCACTCAGGAGGCAAAGGCAAGCTGGTCTCTGATTTCGAGGCCAGTCTAGTCTACAGAGCAAGTTCCAGGGCAGTTAGGGCTACACAGAGAAACTCTATCTTGAAAAAATAATTAATTAATTAATTAAATGAAAATTGAAGATGAAATGTGATCTTTGGCAATGCATCAAGGATTTCAGAAGCTCACTCATGACTGAACTATGTCCTATTTTCTTTTGACCAATTTTTGAGGTTCAAATATAACTTATCAATGGTTGCCATACCCTACTGTACAGCATATCTTCCTGCCTATTAGAAGCATTAGATATGCTCTGTCTAGCCTTTATCAACAAATAAATAAGCCAACTGGGAAAAAAGCCAAAGCCTTCTGTTGGAAAACTTTCAAGGTAGATAAGCACTCTAGCTCTGCATTTAATTAAGTATGTTTGAATAATATAAATAATAAACTAAGAGTAAAAGTCACCAAAGGGCTATTATATTATTAAATTTGTGGCATCCTTCAAAAACCAGCAGAGAGTTGGGTTTACTGCAACCAGAGCCCATCAGATTCCTTCTATGTTCACCCTCATTTCTTAACTTGGCTCCACTCTTCTCCAACGTAAATCCCTACATACTCCATTTTCTTGGCATCCCAGCATCCTCTCAGTTACCATGCTTCTCAAAACACTTGACTGTTGCCTAAATTCTTCTGTGCCTACATGTCAAAGACCAGGATGCATGCATGAATCCCCTCTTAAAAACACAAATGAAACCGAAATCCCTAAGAATCTGAGTCCTCACAACTGTCAGGGCCCATAAAAATGGCTCCCCTTCGTCTAGACTTAAGGTCAGAAAGTACAAAACTATCCTTACTCTGCCAAGGTTAGTCTTAAGACCTAAAAGTCTAAGGCATGGCTACTGAAGGATGTTTGGTGTGAGGTGTGGATGTCTTACCTAAATAACAAGAGACTTGGTTCTAAGGTGTGGTTATTCTTAACCTTCAAGGCCAGATAACAAGAGATTTAGTCTAAGGTGTGGTTACTGAATGTTTGGAGAATTAAGGAAGCAAGTCTGTTTGCTCCTTGTATGATGGTAAAGAAGTCTTTTGCCTTTTTCCCCTTTTTGGTTGTGTATATTAGAATGTTGAAGAATAAACTCAGGGTGTTCAATATTCACTGGATTGCCCTCCTGACTCAATTCTGTGTCTGTCTTTTCCTTAGTATCTTTAATTTCTCAATCTACATTCTCCCTCTCTGGTATGAACCAGGCAAGTCAGCTGGATCCAACTGAAGCCCCCCAAAGACAAGTTCCTATATACAACAATGTTTTCAAAGTCTGTAGAGGCCAAACTAAAAAAGACAGCACCTCAATTCTAACAGGTCATTTCCACTCTTCAGTAGGTAGCTATGAAGCACTGCCATGTGTGTGTGCACAGCTGCCTTCTGCAAGAAGTTACTCTTTCTCTCTTGGTTTCAAGTCAGCCTTTTGTCAACTTCTGTAACAGTTTCCTTTCTCAAACTAAGATCCTGTCTCAATGATCTGAACCTTACAAAGCTGTCTCCATTCATCTAACTCCCTCATTAGTATTTCCTAACCTGAGATGGGTTTCAAACTCCTGCTAGATAGTGAATTTATAACTACCACTAACAACAGTTCGCCAGTCACATTCTGACAGACATTTAAGGCAAATACTGTTTACTTGTTTTAGAATCACTTGAAAAAGTTAATAGATACATTGTTGGACTAAAGAGTATGCAATTCTTAGAAGTTCCCAAACAATACTTATCCTGTCGGTCCAATTATCATATTCTAGGAACCACTTACTGCCTTTGTGAATCTGATGAAGGAAGGCTATGAAGAAATGCACCATATGTATGCAATTCTGATGTATATTCAAAGGTTCATGAAGGTTCACCCATAACTACTCTCCCTTCTGTATTTCATTCTAAGGACTGTTTCTTTTATTTTTGGTTGTGAGTCTACCTTTAATGGCTGAGCCATCTCTCCAACCCAAAACTGTTTCTTTAAGATGTCTCCTGACTTGGTATCCAGAAGTACTCAGTACAGCAATAATGAAACCCAGAATAAACACCCAAGAATAAGGGAGGACTGCTTGACAGTGGGAGTCAGTTCTGTCCAATGTGCTGTCCTCTTCAGTCTTGGAGTCTCTCTCACAGTTGTGTGGTACTTTCCTATACACCTGATTTAATTCTTAGAAACAAACTCATCATTTAGCATGAAAAGGCTCTTCAGTGGCTCAAACCAAACCTTTCAGGTGAAGACATGGTGTCTTAGAAGGAATGAATATAAGTGACACCTTCAACTGCCAGTGACAGAACAGGACTGAATCCCTGATGTTTGTCCAAAAGGATGACTACCAGGGGTCTCACAGACATAACACTCCTCTTCCAGACCAAGGCCATGTGAACCCACAAAGAGAGAGAAAACAGTTCTCTACTTAAGAATTTTAATGGCAGACAGAATAAATGTTAAAATATGAAAATGTGGATCACAAGAATTTATAAAACGCCTTCCAGTCACACATTTTGTATTTATGAACTCTAATTCCTCAGCATACCATTATTCACTTACAGACCATTATATGTACTCAATAGTCAATTATTCAATTCAACTCAGTATCAACTCTATAGAAAAACAGCCATATTCTTTCATTCTATATATCCTCCTACAATTTTCAACATTCCAACATTCACTAAAAAATAAAAATGAGTAAGTTCTAGATTATTTCCTCCCCTCCAATGGCACATGCAAAAATACATGTTGTCAACACAGAAAAATATTTTGGAAGTTTCCTCTATGTATTTCCTCCATGAGCAGTCAGAATTCATTAAATTCTTATGTAATCTACTCAGCATAACATCCCTTAGAACTCAGCAATTATAGATATAGCAAGATTATGTATGTTTTAAGTTTTTCATATCTATCAGATATTTTCTCAATGTATAATCCTATCAAATTATTGCAAGAACTTAAATTGAATGTGAGAAAAATGAATGGATACAATGTCTATCCGAAGTACTTCAAATCCTAGATTTCCTGTCTAAATAAACTGTCTAAATATCAAGTAATTTAAACTGAGCGTACCTCTTGGAGAAGACGTGGATCTACACAGTCCCCATCATCATTAAACATAGATTCCCAGCTTTCCTCCTCAGCAATACTTCCTTCCACATGAGACGTGCCTGTTGTTTTTAGCTCTATGGATGTTTCCACAGATGAATCTCTGTCAGAAAATGATAGGCCACACACTGCATTCTCTGAGTCATCTTCCTCCTTTGTTTTAAACTCTTCAGCAGCAGTTCTTAGTTCGTGCAACGCCTCTGTTATCTCCTCAGTACTATTCAGATCACTGCCCAAGGCGCTCTCCAAAAGGACTTCTGTCCCATTAGACACACTCAGTTCAGAGTCCAAACAAGTGGTACAATTACTGTCAGCAATCTTCTTTATGAGGAAAGAAGAAGCACACCCTGACACACTCTCTATCAACTTTCCTGTTGACTCTGTAAAACTGGAAGCAATACTCTCAGCATAAATATCTGGGCAAGCAGTTAGGCTGCCAACATTTTCAGAGTCGGTCTCACTTTTAGCTGCATTGAGAAGGGCTACATCTGCACTCATTTCTATATAATCTGAGAAATTACTTGTATTGCTACTACTCTCATCAGATTCTTTAACTGCAACTATACAAGGCCTGCCTGCAGTTTCATGATCACAAACTGCACCTGCCATGTCCTCCATACATGCCTTGCTGGTAGTGTCACGTACGTTCTTAAATCCATTATCTGTGTCTATTTCATGAGCGAGGACAGTTGTATCAGAAAGTTCATACTTTACACACAACTCATCAGCAGAGCTGTCACTCTCACATTCTCTAGTCACTGTTGGATCAATAATGCCATTTGTGCTCTCTAACTTGCTGACTATAGCCATTTTAAGAGAAATGTTACCCATAGTCTCAGGAATGGAATCTACACCTTTCTGACCCAAGGCAGACTCTGGGGTATTGACTGTATCCTCACTCTCAGCTTCAAAGTCTATAAAAGTTGGATCAGCATCATCATTTGGACCTCCAGGAAAAGAAACTGCAGAGATGCTCCCAGGACTGTGCTTTGACACGCCATCTGATGTTTCGACACTACACAGTGCAGTTTCAGAATCAGAACTTAGCGTTACTGGCATAGCCATATCCCCTGGTTTCAATGGAGCGGTAACAACTTGAGGAAACTGGGAGACCAACTCCATTACTTTGGCTTCAGTTTCAATTCTGCTTTCCAAATTTCTATTTACACAAGTTTCTCCAGTGAAATCACAAAGGCCTATGTTCTGGAATGGTCTGTTTAGAACCTGAGCATCACTGACTTCTGAGTAAGACTTCAACGGAAGCACCTCCTGATGTCCCGTCACTCCTGCAGTTGGAACTTCCAAACACTCAGTTTCCTTTGTTTTAAGAAGTCTTTGAAGAGGTATACTAGATATAATTCCAGCACTGGGGGCTCTGTGTTGATGCTCTTGGGATGAGGCTTCTTTGGATTCTTCAGTTACTCTCTTAGTACAAACCTTATCTTCATTCTTTTTCTGGAGGCACCTGTCTTTCCTTAATTTTGATGAAGCTCTCTTGCCTTCCCTAGAGTCACACTCCTTTCTATCAGAGTGGTCACTTAGTCTGTGAGACTCAGGTCTCTTTCCAGAGATCTTCTGTGGAAGACAACCGTCTTTTGGTTTCAGCACAAAGGCAGGAGGAGGCCTATAGCTTTCTTCTTTGTCACCTGCTGGACCCCTTCGAGCTTTAGGTACATAAAGTGCCATGTCAGGCCTCTTGGTTCGAGCTCTGCATCTCTCTGCTTCTTGCTGCATGGCACCACTTCAGTCTGAAAGAAAATGAAAGATGTAATAATAATTAAAAAACTAATTATAATGTATTGAACCAAAAAAAATTAAAGAATGGGTAGAGGGCCTACAAATCTAGGTCTACAAAAAACCCACAACCCTCTGAAATCTGGGACACTTGGACTGCAAAGCATTTCAGATAAAGGAAACCCAGCCTATGATATGATTCATGTAAGCGACCTAATCTGAGCTGTCTCTGCTTCCAGCAGTGATGATAACATAGATCCAAGCAGGAAGAAGGAGGCTGGAGAACAGGAAAACTATGATGAGCAAATTCACACTAGCAATCCCTGACAACCTCCACCATGGTTTTCAAAGAATCAACCAGAAATTTGGGAAAGATAAAATATTTTTCTGTCATTACTAAATACAAGGAACCATGCAAGGCACACTGGATTATTCTTTTAATTTTCAAACTAGTGCTGTGAAGTATGAAAGTCTTAAGAAAGAAAGGGGTACATATAACAAATCCATATATACTCTCTAATATTTTACAGCATATTATTTTAGAGGAAAGATATGAAAAATGAGGGAAAACCTGTCACTCCTGTTCACTCTCTCTTAGATTCCTAAGAAGTCACCTGATTCAGAATAGTCTTCACTGATGACTCTTTCACCACAGGGTTTGTTTATGTTTTCTTTTTAAGCCTAAAAACTACCATGATCAAGTATCTCCAGTGATGTTTTTATTTCAGGGTTGCTTTTGAGTCTCAGTATGTATCCTAGGCTGACCTGGAACTTGGTATATACCCAAGGCTGACCTTGAATTCAAGATTCTCATGTTCCAGTCTCCCTAATGAAGCCTCAATATATTTAGCATCTCCTCTTCTACTATAATATTTATTAGTACTTAGTTAATTGTGTGTGTGTGCGCGTGCGTGCATGCGTGCAGTGTGAGAGCACATGTGCATGCATGCATGCATGCGGAACTTGAACTGAGTGTCAAGCTTGGCAGCTAGAACCATTACATGATGAGCCACCTACCTGAAGTCTCTTTGCTATTTAGAACTCTTAATATCTGGCCCAACACTGTTCACAGATTTTCTATTATTCTGAATGTCGAAGAATATATTTTTTTAAATGTATTAATTTATTTATACGTATACCTGTGTGTAACATACATGAACACCACAGAGTACACATGGAGGTCAAAGTTGGTTCTTTCCTTCCATGATGTAGATTCTGGGGACTGAACTCAGGCTGTCAGTCTTGGCCACAAGTACCTTCACCCACTGAGCCATTTTGCTGGCCTATGATTTTAATAGTGAGTCAAATTTCAAAGAAACTCTAAGGTATATGCATCCCACTTGAAGGGATACAATTAACAGTGTGTCAATTCCAATTAGTAAAGCGCCTATCAGCATATACCTTGGCAAACTTCTGGGCAGAAATGGGCAGATGCGGATTAGCTGAGATAACTTGTAATTCATTTCAACTGATTAAATAACAGAAGTAATGATAATGAATAGAAGCGAATTTACAAGGAGAGGGTATGGAAGAGTATGGATTTTCATCCCCACAGTCCTTTCGAATTTCACATTTTATATGGCAATCAGATACATACAATAAACAAAAAATACGAAATATCCAACTGACACAAAACTGATGAGAATAATAAAAAAAATGGTGAAATAGTAATTCAGCATCATTTCAAGAATCTGAAGTGAAATACTAAAAGCAACATGAAGGCAAGAGACAATAAACACAATGATCCATTTGAGATTAAAACAAAATCTAACAGAAGATTAACTTCTGTAGCATCTGAAGGCTTCTATTTCAGCCACAAGGTCAAGAAAAGCCAAAATGTGATGAAGAAGTTTTAAAAAGCAACAAACTCTTAGCATGGAGGGGAAAAGCCATACTATGCATAATTAGGAGAACTAAACGAGGAATGCTTCTTGCCCAAAAGGGTTTAAATGAAGCATCACAGCTAACGTGACCACTGCAGACCAGCCACTCTACATAAGGGACATTATTCTTTCACATTTCTATGTGTCTATGTTTCTCAGAATCAACTGGCAGAATTTAAAAGCAACAGTTTTAACTCAATGTAAGAAAAAGCAAAGCAAAACAAAACCCTGTACTTCTAGATTTTTCCAATGCAAATGGCTCAGTGGGTGAAGGTACTTGTGGCCAAGTACATCTAAATGACTGGCATACACTAGAGAAAGCATTTCTATTTATAACAAAGGTGGTCTAATTTTAAGCATCTTCCAAACTCTAAATCATATTACTACCTCTAATCTGTAACTATTAAGAGTTCCCAAAATATGTACTTTTACAAATGTATGTTACAGTGAATGGTTTCTAAAACAATCCCTTTTCCTTAATGATCATATATCATAATAATGATATTTCTTAAGTCAGAATAGCAATATAATAAACTTATACCATCTATTTCCTGCCTAAATGCTAAACTCAATTGGGTCATAACAAGCAATGTGTTGGTAAATTACCAACAAGCTCACAGTGTATTTCATAGGGCTGGCTGTTTATACCAATGATATCTACAGTAAGTGACTCCTTTGCTCAAGTGCATAACTAGTCAGAATAATGGAAGAGTGTATCTTCATTTTTTAAGCTATTCACAATATAGAAGCTAAAGACATGACACATTTACATTAGTAGTATTTTCATCGTTGTAAGTCTAGACAGTCAATAAGTAATCAAGTCCTGATTTATGGCATCTGTCAATCTCTACACAGTTATCTTACTGTGGATAATTTCAAGCTACCAATATGGCATCATTGAACACAAATTTGGGAAAAATTGTAAAGACATATACTGGTCTTCAACTATAGAGATATATGATACACTATAACTTCCAGAGCATGGATCATAAGCAGTTGTTATGTTTTAAAAATTCAACATGGATAATAGTAAGCCTATGTGCTTGAATTATGGGACCTGGGGAGATAGATCAGACAGTGAAGTACTACTTGCCATACAAACATAGGACCCATGTTCAACCACAAGCACTCATGAAAGGGAGGGAAGAAGGCTATGCCTGGTGGGCTTGTGCCTACATCCTCAGGGCCAGGGAAGCAGACAGAAGGATCTCAGCAAGTCATCACAACCAACAAGCTCTAGATAAAGTGAGACCTTGCCTAAAAAACAAAGTGGAGGGCCACTGTGGAAGAGTGGAGAGCCACTGTGGAAGACACCTAAGGTCAACCTCCGGCCCCCACAAAAGTCCACATTTGCATACACAAAACTCCCCATCCAGGTATTTACTCACAGCATATGAGTTCTTTTTTTTTTTTTTTTTTTTTTTTTAGTTTAGTTTAGTTTTTCGAGACAAGGTTTCTCTGTGGCTTTGGAGGCTGTCCTGGAACTCACTCTGTAGACCAGGCTGGCCTCGAACTCACAGAGATCCACCTGCCTCTGCCTCCCGAGTGCTGGGATTAAAGGCATGCACCACCAACGCCCGGCTAGCATATGAGTTCTTACTTAATTTTGAAAGAGCTCTTACTAGCTTAATTGAAGGAAAGAATTAGTTATTCTACATTTTGCAACTTAATTCATCACACAAAAACACTAGCAATTTTCAATTCTGTTCAAAATTACATTTTCTAAAGGGGTAAGAAGCCAGATTCCTTTTTGATAAAGAACAATTACTAAAGTATATCTTTGAAACAATTCTGGCCAAATTATTTTCTCTATAACTATTGTACACTGAGACTACACTGCAGTACCTTTCCAACTGCATCTACTGTTTTAAAGTTCTCTTGAGAAAAAAAATGTTAGTAACTTTAAGTACGTCTCTGATCTATCTTCATAAGAACATAAATAACACAAACTAATCATGTTTTAACATTTTCACAACGGGTCTACACTGCTTGCCCTGTATCTGTTATCTGAACAACAACCGGGTATTAGCCCTTTAAATACTCAATACACAACCATGAATTGACTAGCCTCAAGATTCTAAAAAAGTTCATTCAGAGTATCTAATATTGAAAGAAATAACATAATAGGCATGCTAACTATGCTTTTAGAACAAACTCTCTGAAGTTCTATTACTTTGTTTGTTCATATAGATGTATCATAACTAAACCATGTATGTTATCTCAATATTTTTATGGGGAGGTCTTAATATTTATCTCAGGTTGGCCTTGAGCTCACTCAAAATCCTGCCTCAACCTCTCAAGTGCTGGAATCACAAATGAGCCACCACGCCTATCTGTACCAACTTTTAACTAGAAAAGTTTTAAATGAAAACCTATAAGTAAGTTATAAAAGTTGCCGGGCATTGGTGACACAAACCTTTAATCCCAGCACTCAGGAGGCAGAGGCAAGCAGATCTCAGTGAATTCAAGGCCAGCCTGGGCTACACAGCCAGTGCCAGGACAGGCTCCAAAGCTACACAGAGAAACCCTGTCTCGAAAAACCAAAAAAATAAAAAGTTATAAAAAAGTTATAAAAGTTAAAAACAATACAAGTGTTCACACACCCTTTACCTAATTCCCCTACACATGTACTTTATCATTTACAATCACATATGTCCTTCTTTCTTTCCTACTTCCTTCCCTCCTCCAGGCTGATATTATTCCCCTGAACCATTTGAGAGCATTTAGCTAAATCTGATGGTTTTGATATGATCCAATTTTTATGATGGCTAGCTGCAAAATGACGATTTTTTTCCATCAAGTATAAGTCACTCCATATTTACCACTCAGGCCACACCAGTTCTCTGAAAAACAAAACAAACTATGTATCTTAGCTCACAACACACGCTAAGATTTCCTAAGCTAAAAGTTCAATATTGAAATCACAGCAGCTGTGGTTGGGCAAGACAGGAAATCATTTTCTAACTTTGCAAAATCGAAGATTATTATCTTATCTAATGCTCCATTTGTAAGAGAAAAAAAAGGGCATGTCTTCAAAAGTTATATGGTCCTTTCACTAGACACAACATGTGTCCTTTTTCTGTTCCTTTCTGGAAAATCCCAGAACTAAGATACAACGCTTAATGCAAATC